AGGGTTGTGTTTGTTGGTCATGTAGGGTTTGTGTTTGTTTGTCATTTAGGGTTTGTGTTTGTTTGTCATGTAGGGTTTGTGTTGGGTCATGTTTGTGTAAGGTTAGGTTTGCGTGGAGACTTTTGTTATATGTTTCATGAAGATGTTTGTTTCGTTTGGTGGTGATGTTTTGGAGGTTTGTCTGGGAATATGGCTTGATGTACGATTGACGACACAGGGACATCGGTATTAATAGCTGCTGCTAACTCGTGAAAAGTATGGGCGGCGAATTACTCCAGTGGTTAAGGCGTTCGCTCGTCAAAGCCTAATAACCAGTTCCATTCCCCACATGGGTACATTGTGAAGCCCATTTCTCGTATTCCCTGCCGTGATATTGCTGGAATATTGCTAAAAGCAGTGTAAAATTAAACTTATTCAACTCGAGAAAACGAGCAACTCCAATTTTCACGGTCCAGTTCACGAGGCTACAATCAACAATCCTACGTCAATATATGACATGCATTTTCAATGAAGTTTTATCTGCAACAGATGGACGATATTTAAGCTTGTTCAAGGCTGTCTGTGTCGACATGTATTTGTACAACATCGTTTCTCCAGTTGGCAGTCGATGAAAGAGTTAGGGAACAATAAAAGGCAAATACTAAAAAAGTTATACTTTTAAATGTACTTTAGCGTACATGTTGACATATCTTAATAATTAAGCATTAGCTTTATTGAAAATCATTAAAATTAATTTAATTTCTTTAGGAAAATAATATTAATTCACCTGACTATATAAAATGATTTTCCATCCACTGATTCTGTCGTAAAAACTATTGTAAGTAAACACAAACTCGGTCTACATGATGTCTAACTCAAAGCCAAACTCACATTCACCGAGAAATATGACAACACAGTTAACCCTGGCCCGGGTTTGCCTAGTAGCAATGGCTGAAGATCCCTCTCAAAATTATCAAAATCAATACGAACATTTTTCTAATAGGGTTGGACTATTACTGATTTGGTCCGTCCAAACAAATGTATTTTCAAAATATTTAGAGAATTTGAGATTTCAAAATGTTCAAATTATACAATATCTTAAATTCGGCATCAGAATTTGACTTCAGGCGTTTTTTTAGACTAACATTCACTCAAAATACTCTTACGGTGGCGAAATATTTTTACTGGTGGTTATTTCTTTCACGCTTTTAATTTCGATGTTAAGAAGGGTAAAGCCCCAAATAAAACGTGGACGATCGTTGTGTTTCAAGTACGACACATACGGATGCCGTGTGAGGATTGACGTTACACGCAGCGTCGCGAACCTTTGTAAACTCAGCACAGCCATTTTGTATGTACTCTTTTCACCCAACTGAAAAAAGAAACTAGCATAGATTCTTAAAGGTTCTATCACTGAAAGAAATGCTTAGATCTTCAGTAGTAATTTTCAGCATAAGGAGTCTGCAGTGTTCGATTCCGTCTATACCACAAACGTCTTTTTGACTTACCTAGAAATACATGGTGATACCAGACTTTCGCGAAAATGTGACTTAGTGAGTGAGTGTGGTTTTATGCCGCTTTTAGCAATATTCCTGCAATATCGCGGCGGGGTCATCAGAAATTGGCTGTACATATTGTACCCATGTGGGGAATCGAACCCGTGTCTTCGGCGTGACGAGCGTGACCACTTGGCTACTCCACCACCCCTCGTGAAAATGTGAGCGTAGTCTGCCTCCTCAACGGTGATTGTCACAAACACATGTAAAGACGTGTGAGACCAGTGACCTTGAACCTCAGATATCTCGCTGTCATTCAAATTATTCATAATTTAAACTATTTTTGTCATATAATGCTGTCTTTGCGTTTGTCGTTTCCAAAATACCTTTGTGCACGACATTTACCATATGAAGCCCATAAACCAAAGCTGATTTTCATTTATATTTAGTCATACGCATTATTTCGAGTTTACTTACACCTTTCCCGTGAGTGACAAATAACATGCTTTCCAACAGAGACAGTATCACATATGTTTACATTACAAATTGTATTTTAATGGACATAATGTGATACAAACGGTTTTGTCAATGTTAATTTATTGTCTGCCAGTTGATATTTATCCTTGAGATTACATGACACACAAGAAACGTTGTCAGGAAGTTGTTCATGGTCACGGTTGTCATTCATAGAATGTTTGCCTAATTCATTTAATCTTTAATATCAATAAAGTATGTTTAAACATGTTTAGATAATCACAAGAAATTCAAATCGCGATTACCTTTGTGCTCAGAAACTTTGAAGGCAACGACAAATTTCTCATTTTTTATAAATGGATATTTTAGCAAAATATGTGCTTATTAGCTTTGTGTCACGCGATCCTGATAGTTGAACGAGTGAGTGACATATGACGATAGCAATTTGTTTTAACCATGTTTTACGGACGTAAAAGATCAAATAGATTAGGCAAACGTTTTCCAGCTTAAAATGCCCTTTCCACAGACAAATAAACAGACAGAGGATATGTGTGTGATTATTGAACCCTGAAATAAATGACATACAGTGCTTCAATTTCATGGAAACAATAATAGTGACCTGTTCAGATGAAGTCGCCAGCAATACGCGAGCTCCATAACCTTTTTTGTATGAGTACCGTTTCGTACCTTTGATTACGATGCTGCATGTACTTAGTGAGTAGTATAGGGAATGATGGTACGAGACCGCAAAGCAAAAATAATGATAAAATAAGAAGGAAAAGTCCAAAGGGTGAACCTCCACTCAACATTTGAGTATATAGAGACACTTTTTGTTTGCATTGTTTTTTTCTTCGCGATCCCAGCAGTCCATCCAACCCCAAGACAGGTATACGGAAAGCAAAAATGGAGTCCAGCGCAGAAAAACAACAACAGTATGTCGATGGGGTTTGGACCACTCTCGTGTTGTTTCTCCATCGGCGAAGGTGCACTCGAATTATCATAAGAATCTCATTTTCACTAAGGCTACCCATTTTTTCAGCAACCACAAACCCCATATTCGACCCGATATGAAGACAGCTATGCAAGAAACTGGCACCACACAGTCTGTTTCCATAGCCGACAGCAAATATAATATATTTATATTGATATAAATTAAATTGTTCTCGTCACGATATTAACTCACTCACTCACTTTAGGCTGATCAGACAAATGCCAGATAGGAACATAGATATGCCATTGACAAACCCAAACGCTGTTGCAGTCAAATGTAGGCCTTGTGGTATGGCATAATCATCCTGGAAAAGTATTAAATGGCTGTTGTTATTGTCGGATATGTGTTAGTATGACAGGTCGCAAGGCGTCATCCGGATATCTCCGTAAAGTAATGCTGCCTTGAGATACAACAGCTTGGTCAACAGGTCCTCAGTCAGATTCCTCCCCAGACCGTGGGACCAGCGACTAAAAGAAACAAACTTCTTGGACCCCTGACTCAGCACTAGATGTTCAGGTCGATGTCTGAACACATGCTGCCCACCATAAGCTTGGAACAGGCAAAACAGTATTCGTCCCGGTCTCGAACCTGCCAACCTGCATTAATCTGGTTTTATAGCTAAATAGATAGAATTATTATTTAAACGCCCGCATGTTATCAGAAATGAGCGGACCACTGTAACTTGATAATGCCCCCATAATTGCTTGACGACCATTGTTAGGTGACGTCATAAGGAGCTCAGCTCTTGCTGTTCAATCACCTACGGCTCGTTTGAACTTTGTTTCAATACTGACGCTATTTCAGACTCACATTCGTCACATGTACCTGTGCAATTATGCACTTTTTTGCCGGTGCCAACCTTCACAATTGTACCATAAATTACATCTTGCAGCAATTAAAACATCGACTGGAACTCTAACGTTGTTGAGCATTGAAAAACAAATGGCGGCTGGTAGTATGGGCAAAGGTCAAGGTTGAATGTCGTCACGCTTAACAGTGACGTCATCTGTTTTGTTCTATGACGTTTCCATATTTGTAAAACGTGTGCCAGTGACCTCCGGATCCGTGGTTCGTTGTTCAGAGTACATGATTCAAAACCGATACTGTTTTTTTTATTTTATTTTAATAAAAATTCTATCCATTTTAGCTATAATAACGGTAACGCTACCTTTCAGGGCATTATCATGAACGACCTCGGGCTTCTGCTAATGACAATGCCCTGCAAAATAGCGTTACCCTTATTATACATGTAGTACCGGATGCTATTGCTATTTGAGCATGTGTGGCAGCCTGGCAAAAACAACGGCTCTTTGTGGGTTGATGGTAAGCAAGTCATATGCTTTATCAGCAGCTTTTTATACCCATTTTGCTCTTTTATTGCGTTTTACGAAGACAAGCGACGTTTTCGCAAATGCAAGTTTTGTTTTACAGTTTCGCTTTCTGGTACTTCATTTTATCGAATACTTATGTCACATATTTAATCCCAATCTATTTTCTCTGTTTCAATTAATAAAGACAAAAATGATTCTTGCTCTATTTCCTTTGGAAATCTGTTTATGTGGTGATGGTGTTTTGGATTTGTTCGAAACATACATGTCCTTTTCTGCAAGTCTATGGTTCAGAAAATTCATTATGAACGATTTTTGTTCTCTTTATGCATCTGATGCAACTTTATTAAATTTCCAGTATCATCTGAAAGGCTCCGTGTTGTAGTGGCTAAAGCGTCCGCCACTCGGACAGCGAAAAGTCAGCGGTTCCATCCCCGGCCGGGTCATACCAAATGTCTGGGCTAGTACAAACATCCACACATACATGCGCATGCACGTCGTCATGTGAGCGAAATATACGACGTTAAACTCCATTTCAACTCACCTCAGTATCATCTTGTCTAGAAATATATTTGATCAAAAAATGACCTTGTGAAAGAGTTCTTTCAAAGACTTGGACATGTTGCTCAGACATCGTATTTCTGCTTTAAAAGGGCATGTGCACATTGCCAGTGTGTCAAGTGACGCGGCATGGCTAATCTGCACTTACAATGAGTAATTGGATATACATACCCCTGTGTGGTTTAGCATTTTCTTGAAAGTCGTAAGTGTGTGCAGTTCCCATCCTCCTTGTGAGTCAGTCCCACTTATCCCCATCTTTAGAAACTGAACATGGCGGGACCTCTTGTAACTGGCCTGGGTCATGCTGAAATATTTCAACGGGAGGTTTCCACGTATCCAGCTGATTATGAAGGCGTCTGTACCAGACTGTCAAGTGGTTGACATTATGCGCCTCATGTACGTACAGTAGTTGGCCATAATTGAGTCATCATTAGTGAAATTTCAAAAGACTTTCATCTTAATTAAGTGTTGCAAGAATAATTTTCATAAATTGAGTAGAAGACATTTTATTTTGATATTTTGAAAAAATCTTGGAAATCATCCTCAGCTACGTGTACACAATTTTCTTTCATCTTTCCGTTGATTAGTTATCGAATGACACCTGGTTAAGCCCCACATATAAGTACAACTTTAAATCTGTCCAATAGACAGTCATGTTAAACCTGATTGGTATGTCCAATATATGTTGTTTAAATAGTTGCAGTTTTCTTAATTATCATCGGTAAATTGAATGGAAATTACGTGTATGTAGCTGAGATGATTTCCCAGCTGGTAGATAAGTATTGAAAGCATTTCGGCCGAAACTAAATTTATGAAAATTATTCTTGCAAGAGTTAATCAAGATGCAAGTCTATGGGAATTTCACTAATGATGACTCACTTATGACCAACTACTGTAACTGGGACACAATGACATGCTTAGACTAAATCAGCGAGCCTGGCCACCAGATTCCGTTGGTCGTCTCTTACGACAAGAATGGGCTGCTGTACATCTGCTGGAACTCGAATCTTCACGGGAACGTCAGAAAAATAGAATGTTTATGTTTGAACACGTGATAAGTTAATCAGGGTGCATTGGATTGAATAAGTTTTGACTTAGCTGATTGTGTGTCATGGAGTTGGGCTGTCCGTGAGTATATTAACAGCCATGAGGCGTTGTTAATAAACCAGTCTGGAGACACGAATGACAAACACTGTGAAGTCACGTCAACGAGCCAGTTAGTGAGTGAGTGATTTAGTTTTACATCGCACTCAGCAATATTCCAGCTATACGGTGGCGGTCTGTAAATAATAGTGTCTGGATCAGACAATTCAGTGATCAATAGCATGAGCATCGATCTACGTAATTGGGATGTGATGATAGTATTCACATAGTAGTCAATATAAGTCCGTGATGATAGTATTCACATAGCAGTCAAGTCCGTGATGATAGTATTCACATAGCAGTCAAGTCCGTGATGATAGTATTCACATAGCAGTCAAGTCCGTGATGATAGTATTCACATAGCAGTCAAGTCCGTGATGATAGTATTCACATAGCAGTCAAGTCCGTGATGATAGTATTCACATAGCAGTCAAGTCCGTGATGATAGTATTCAGTCAAGTCCGTGATGTAGTATTCACATAGTCAAGTCCGTGATGATAGTATTCATGATAGATAGCAGTCAAGTCCGTGATGATAGTATTCACATAGCAGTCATGAGTCCGTCAAGTCCGTGATAGTATTCACATAGCAGTCAAGTCCGTGATGATAGTATTCACATAGTAGTCAGTCAAGTCCGTGATGAAGTCCGTGATGTATTCACATAGCAGTCAAGTCCGTGATGATAGTATTCACATAGTAGTCAAGTCCGTGATGATAGTATTCACATAGCAGTCAAGTCCGTGATGATAGTATTCACATAGCAGTCAAGTCCGTGATGATAGTATTCACATAGCAGTCAAGTCCGTGATGATAGTATTCACATAGCAGTCAAGTCCGTGATGATAGTATTCATATAGCAGTCAAGTCCGTGATGATAGTATTCATATAGCAGTCAAGTCCGTGATGAAGTCCGTGATGTCCGTGATGTAGTATTCACATAGCAGTCAAGTCCGTGATGATAGTATTCACATAGCAGTCAAGTCCGTGATGATAGTATTCACATAGCAGTCAAGTCCGTGATGATAGTATTCACATAGTAGTCAAGTCCGTGATGATAGTATTCACATAGTAGTCAAGTCCGTGATGATAGTATTCACATAGCAGTCAAGTCCGTGATGATAGTATTCACATATAGCAGTCAAGTCCGTGATGATAGTATTCACATAGCAGTCAAGTCCGTGATGATAGTATTCACATAGTAGTCAAGTCCGTGATGATAGTATTCACATAGCAGTCAAGTCCGTGATGATAGTATTCACATATTAGTCAGTCAAGTCCGTGATGATAGTATTCACATAGCAGTCAAGTCCGTGATGATAGTATTCATAGCATAGCAGTCAAGTCCGTGATGATAGTATTCACATAGCAGTCAAGTCCGTGATGATAGTATTCACATAGTAGCAGTCAAGTCCGTGATGATAGTATATTCACATAGCAGTCAAGTCCGTGATGATAGTATTCACATAGCAGTCAAGTCCGTGATGATAGTATTCACATAGCAGTCAAGTCCGTGATGATAGTATTCATATAGCAGTAGTCATAGTCCGTCAAGTCCGTGATGATAGTATTCACATCCGTGAGATAGTATTCAGTAGTCAAGTCCGTGATGATAGTATTCACATAGCAGTCAAGTCCGTGATGATAGTATTCACATAGTAGTCAAGTCCGTGATGATAGTATTCACATAGTAGTCAAGTCCGTGATGATAGTATTCACATAGTAGTCAGTCAAGTCCGTGATGATAGTATTCACATAGCAGTCAAGTCCGTGATGATAGTATTCACATAGCAGTCAAGTCCGTGATGATAGTATTCACATAGTAGTCAAGTCCGTGATGATAGTATTCACATAGTAGTCAAGTCCGTGATGATAGTATTCACATAGCAGTCAAGTCCGTGATGATAGTATTCACATAGCAGTCAAGTCCGTGATGATAGTATTCATATAGCAGTCAAGTCCGTGATGATAGTATTCACATAGTAGTCAAGTCCGTGATGATAGTATTCACATAGTAGTCAAGTCCGTGATGATAGTATTCATATAGCAGTCAAGTCCGTGATGATAGTATTCAGTCAAGTCCGTGATGATAGTATTCACATAGCAGTCAAGTCCGTGATGATAGTATTCACATAGTAGTCAAGTCCGTGATGATAGTATTCACATAGTAGTCAAGTCCGTGATGATAGTATTCACATAGCAGTCAAGTCCGTGATGATAGTATTCACATAGCAGTCAAGTCCGTGATGATAGTATTCACATAGCAGTCAAGTCCGTGATGATAGTATTCATTCATATAGTAGTCAAGTCCGTGATGATAGTATTCACATAGTAGTCAAGTCCGTGATGATAGTATTCACATAGTAGTCAAGTCCGTGATGATAGTATTCACATAGTAGTCAAGTCCGTGATGATAGTATTCACATAGCAGTCAAGTCCGTGATGATAGTATTCATATAGCAGTCAAGTCCGTGATGATAGTATTCACATAGTAGTCAAGTCCGTGATGATAGTATTCACATAGTTGTCAAGTCCGTGATGATAGTATTCACATAGTAGTCAAGTCCGTGATGATAGTATTCACATAGCAGTCAAGTCCGTGATGATAGTATTCACATAGCAGTCAAGTCCGTGATGATAGTATTCATATAGCAGTCAAGTCCGTGATGATAGTATTCACATAGTAGTCAAGTCCGTGATGATAGTATTCACATAGTAGTCAAGTCCGTGATGATAGTATTCACATAGCAGTCAAGTCCGTGATGATAGTATTCACATAGTAGTCAAGTCCGTGATGATAGTATTCACATAGCAGTCAAGTCCGTGATGATAGTATTCACATAGTAGTCAAGTCCGTGATGATAGTATAGTATCACATAGTAGTCAAGTCCGTGATGATAGTATTCACATAGCAGTCAAGTCCGTGATGATAGTATTCACATAGCAGTCAAGTCCGTGATGATAGTATTCACATAGCAGTCAAGTCCGTGATGATAGTATTCACATAGTAGTCAAGTCCGTGATGATAGTATTCACATAGCAGTCAAGTCCGTGATGATAGTATTCACATAGCAGTCAAGTCCGTGATGATAGTATTCACATAGTAGTCAAGTCCGTGATGATAGTATTCACATAGCAGTCAAGTCCGTGATGATAGTATTCACATAGCAGTCAAGTCCGTGATGATAGTATTCACATAGTAGTCAAGTCCGTGATGATAGTATTCACATAGTAGTCAAGTCCGTGATGATAGTATTCATATAGCAGTCAAGTCCGTGATGATAGTCCGTGATGATAGTATTCAGTCAGTCAGTCCGTGATGATAGTATTCACATAGTAGTCAAGTCCGTGATGATAGTATTCACATAGCAGTCAAGTCCGTGATGATAGTATTCACATAGCAGTCAAGTCCGTGATGATAGTATTCACATAGCAGTCAAGTCCGTGATGATAGTATTCACATAGCAGGAGTCCGTGATGAGTCACATGATGAGTCAAGTCCGTGATGATAGTATTCACATAGTAGTCAAGTCCGTGATGATAGTATTCACATAGCAGTCAAGTCCGTGATGATAGTATTCACATAGCAGTCAAGTCCGTGATGATAGTATTCACATAGCAGTCAAGTCCGTGATGATAGTATTCACATAGCAGTCAAGTCCGTGATGATAGTATTCACATGATAGTATTCAGTCAAGTCCGTGATCCGTGATGATAGTATTCACATAGCAGTCAAGTCCGTGATGATAGTATTCACATAGTAGTCAAGTCCGTGATGATAGTATTCACATTCACATAGAGTATTCAGTCAAGTCCGTGATGATAGTATTCACATAGCAGTCAAGTCCGTGATGATAGTATTCACATAGCAGTCAAGTCCGTGATGATAGTATTCACATAGCAGTCATTTCATAGTAGTCAAGTCCGTGATGATAGTATTCATATAGCAGTCAAGTCCGTGATGATAGTATTCACATAGTAGTCACATAGCAGTCAAGTCCGTGATGATAGTATTCACATAGCAGTCAAGTCCGATGATTCACATAGCAGTCAAGTCCGTGATGATAGTATTCACATAGTAGTCAAGTCCGTGATGATAGTATTCACATAGCAGTCAAGTCCGTGATGATAGTATTCACATAGTAGTCAAGTCAATAGTATTCA